ATCCGCCAGTTCTTTCAGGACCCGTTTCTGTTTTACTCAGAACATAGTAGGAAGTTCATATATATTTTGTTTTGGATTTACATTATTTGAATGTCAACAGAGGTCAGACAGAAACTGGAGGATACTCACCACCCCCCACCCCCCGCTAAAGGCATGATGGACTATTTCAGATAATGCTTTGCATGTCAGTAAGAGACTCTTTGGGAAAACATAACAGTGTTTTCTGCCGTCATAGACAAGACAGTATTTCTGGTTCTCTTATAATGGCAGAAACATTGATTTACCAAAGCTGCTATGTTATTCCCAAAAGTACTTTACAAAAAGTGGTAGATATATGGATCCTGGAGGGGCACCTCAGGTACATAGTAATAAAATTCCTCTAAACTAAACCACATACAACTGAATGTGAAGAAAACACCTCTTTGATCTTCTGGTTTAGGTTAGGTATTATATAAAACACTTAAATAGTTCCTATAAGCCTGGGGGAACAAGATAAAGTAATATATCATCTGTACTAAGTTGAGATGAAAACTCAATTTCTTCTGTGTCAGATATCACAGTTTTCTGAATTTATTTCTACAAAGAGGTTTTGTTAACACCTTAACTTACTTAAAGAGATTTTTAAAGAATGAGAAACCATCAATCCTTTGCAGGGTTTACTGGCTAAATGTTCAAGCACCAGAGTTAAAGAGGCAGATCATTTCCCAGATCTTGTTTTAGAATATGGTTCATAATTTCTGTTGTTTTCCAGGTTTTTTTTTGGTGGGGTCTTTTTGTTTGTTTGCTTTTTTTTTTTTGTTCTTTTTTAATTTTTAAAAATAAACATAATTTCTTTCAGTAATGTTGATAACCTATGTGCCATATGAAATTGTAAACATTTAAGATCTATAAAATTACATATAATATTTTCTATTAGTCTATATTTTGGTTAACCTATTTATTCTATGCTTAGCCCAAGACTGCTTTTGGAAGGGTGAAACAAGATCAGTGAACCCTTAGTTACTATATAGTTACTATATATCGCAAACTATACCAGCTCTGTTTTCATATTGTTGCAACAAGAAGTGCTCTTAGAGGAAGAATGCACAAATGGACCTTTGCTTGATATGGGAATGTAGCAACACGGACTTTAAATTATTTTAGAGGAAAGAGAAGTATCCTTTACCTTTTCACCAGCACCACATCTTCTATCATTAAGTTTTCCCAATGTGACAAATATGAAAATAATAGGATCTTGAGAATTTTAGTTCAAGGTATTTTATTTTAATAAAATTGAAAAAATCTTAATTGTAGGTAGATAAATTCAATTTCGATAACTATTACAGAGAAACAGACAGCTTATGATGAGTCATTGCTAGATAAAATAATTTGTCATATTTGTATTTATAAACTGCAATAATGTTTTTGCTTACATTACTTTATCCCTAACTGTTTACATCAAAACCTAATCAAAGAAAATTTTCCAAATATGGTAAATGATTAATAGTATTATATGGTCTTTTTGTATGATTTCACAGTGATTTATTTTTTCCTGAGAGCAAAAAAAGTGATGTTTCATAATGCTTGATTGCTAAATGAGAGAGAGAAGTGTGAAATTATTTTTAATGGAACCCACTTGATCATTTTTCAGGAAGTACTTACCATGATTATAGTTGTATTTCAACAAGATTGAAGTTTCTGCCTTGATTGTGACAGTGTCTAATTAAATCCAAGACAACAAATGTCTTTCAGTGAGAATAGGGCTATTATTCTTTATGCACTGTGATGACATTTTGGTCTGTTCTAGAAAACCTTGTGGTGTTCTACTTACCTAAAACCTTGCCAAGGGTGAGAGACTTGATTGCATTGAATTCTGTCCCTGAAGACAGAATAAACTTCATTCTTTCATTCTGGTTAACCTGCAGAATGGTGCCGTGAATAACAAAGTAAAATAATGAAAGAGATATTAGTCAAAGTTTGCAAAAAAGCGGGTAAGATGAAGTTTAAAAATAATAGGACCAGAGAGAAGCAGTTGTTAATGATAGCATAAAAACTAATCAGGAAATAGATGATCAGATTCTTCAGATCACTCATTATAGCTGTGATATTTCTTGAGTATCCCACTTAATAAACCCTTTTTAATCTTATTGATTAGGCTGATTCCTTCTTTTTCAAGTATAAGATGAATAACACCGGTACACTTTCAAAAACATGAAAATAGCTCATCGTTAAAAAAGGCACTTAACATGAATTTATAAAGATCAAATATTATACTGCAAATGTTCTTTCCCACAGGGTACTGCTAGAACTACTTGCCTTCAAGTCTAGTAACAATGCATAATTAAGCGAACTCATCTCTAGCCTCAAAATAATAACCTTTAACATCTGGGGTTTTAAATTTTAATTAAAAATAATTAAGACTTCTTTACATGGTGGTATCTACTATGAGGAAATCAAAGATTTCTATTTTATCATCAAATTTCCACCAATTAAAAAAAAATATTTTTCTTATGCTTTGGATGGTGTACTTTTTTACCATAATACGTTTGTTTGTTTGTTTTGCAAATTGAATTACCTCTACAAAGAGCATTTCTTCCTCTCTGTTCATCTTGACGTGTTGCAGTTGTCCATCAGCCATGCCTTTCATGCTGATGCTGAAGATGTCAGGATCTTTATGGCTATCTAGCTTGTACCTGATCTGTAAACTTCCTGCAGAGATAAACAGAATAAAAGTTAACAGTACACAGTGTAAACTATATACAATGCCTTCTGCTTCACAGGTGCATTTGATGAGCAAAACATATATTTTATTTATTTAAGGAAGGTAACAGGAAAAGTAATAGCAATGTTGGAAGTAGGATGTAGTGGTAAAAATACCCATAAACTGTCACAAATCTGAATAATGAGTCAAAATTTGTGCAGAAATTTTATTAAGCATTTTTATAATTCAGCTGCAAAAGTTTTGGTCTGGTAGCTCCTATCAATGTGACATCAAATAAAACTGAATTCTTTAACAGTACTGTTCTTGAATATTGTTTACACAATGAAAACTTGAAAACCTCTGACCAGCTGACAATTCAGTAGTATGCGATTAATAATTTCTTGCTCACTTTCTATTTCTTTTTGTTAACTCCTAGAATACTGTCTGTATGCATATAATCATACAGAGATATTCACAGAAGAACACAGAGATAGCATGGTTTCCTTGTCAGAGATTCCCTCCCAGACACAGGTGGACTACAACTTTCTACTCATCCCCTGGAAATCAAGGCCCAGGCCAGACCCAGGCCAGACATGAGAAAAAACAGTTCAACCTCACGTGATGGGGAGATTCCACAATCAACCTACATCCAAATCTGTACCTAGGAAAGTACAGAAGCTTCTTTGAGCATAGAACCACTGTGATTGCAAAGTCTTTTATAAGCCTGAAGATTCAATGCAGTCTCTGGGATTGTTTAATTAAAAATAAAATAAAAACCCAGACATAGAAGAAAGAATGGAAAAGAAAAATCTAAGTAATATTTAACATTCAGCTTCAATGGAAACATCAGTTATTTTATGTATATTTTCACAGGTATGCATTTGTATTTTCATAGTTATTTAAGGAGCTTATGAAATTTGAATTAAATGAGCTCTGATCAATTTGGAAAATGGATAATTCACTTTCAGAAATAGTTAAGTTCATTATTTATCATGAGGATTACATGTGAACAGTAGACAGGTCAAATACATTTGAGTTTCATTTCAAATACATTTGAGTTTCACTTGAAACTTAATATATTTTACAGCATTTCTAAATGATTTCAGAAATAAGTAGTTTCATGTGGAAAGCATTGTGTGATTCAGGTCTGGGAATCAATGTGAATCTGAGTTGGTAGCTATGATGTTCATTAGTGTTTCCAGATGGCCTGTCTGAACACTCACCATTTCTGGTAAGAATGACTGAGAGATATTCGTTGTAGAAGGAGCTGACATAAAGTAGTAAGCTTGGTGTCCGTGTTGTTCGGAAGGCAAATGTAATTGCTTCAGTGTTCAGTGTCATGTCAGCATAGAAAGAAGAAGCATGAGAAGTGGAATTTTTAGCTAAGGTGTAGTATTCTTGAAAATTGTATGTCACAGAAGTGCCAGTCCCAAAATAGGCAGAGATCTCTGAAACAAAAAGTAATTTAGATTTTAAATATCATGCTAAACAAGACTACAGCTCTTTTTTTTCTTTTTTTTTGTTCCTGCCACAGGGCAAGGAAAAAGGTTCTTAACTACTGTGATAAAGCTGAAAAGGAAATAGAAATAGTACTTGTATTTAGAACTACAGAGAGAAATAAGACCAAACCAGTACTACAGCAAAAGCCTACTTAGATATGAGTCTTAAATATCTGTTGCAGGAAAAATTACTTCTTTTTCTCTAGTTTTAAGCATCCTTGCTGCTTTTTCCTGTTCATCCATGTCCTTAAACCTAATATGTCTTGACTTGTATTTGTACTGCTCCTACAGAGAAATGGGTGCAGCAATTTAACATACTGTTTAAACTTGGCCACACCTGAAACACATATGTGGGAAAAGAATCTGGTCAGGTGGGAGAAAGAAAAGGAGAATACAAACTGGTTTATGATCGTCTTATGGATCAATCACTCCTAGAGGGCTTCGGTATCTCTATGATATTTCACAGCCATTTTCTGCTAAAAGTAACTGTCTTAGACTGTCCTATTTTCACACACAATCTCCACGTGTCAGAAAAAATTCTGGAAATTTATGTAATCTGTCTACTTATATTTGACAGAAGGTGACTGAAAGTTATTAGCATAGGTCATTCCACACTTTCATCAACAGGAGCCACTCTGCCCCTGCAGAATAATAAACATGGAGTGTGACCATTAGTCTCCTGTACTGTTTGCATGGGGGAGGAAAGTATCATTCCTAACTCAGTGGCATTAGCCTCACAGTGACAGATATGGAAGGACATTACACAAGCCTTTTATTCTTGTGGGGGCAATGATGGCTGGACAGATGTTGTGCTCACTAATTTAGAGGAACATGGAGTTATGGCATTTAAGCCCCTGAGAACTTTGCAGAATGCACTCAATACATGGAGGAAGCAAGTCATTTTTATCAGAACAGAACTATATGCAGATAAGAAAAGTTCTAGATAAACTTCCATTCTTAAAATTCAAACTTGATGACTTGTTATCATGTAGCAGTATGACACCACCACCAAATAATTCCTTTAAAATTGCTGAAAACATGTGCTCAGTCCTGTTTCTGATACAAAAAGTAAATAAAAAAAAAGAAAACAGAAGTTTCAGGTTCTTCTGCTTCTTGGTTTGTTTTCCAAATTTAATCTTCGTTTTGAGATTAAGACTTGAAAGACAGAAATTCAGAAGTTTATACATAAAGATATGGTTTCTATCTTTAGTATCATATAAAAGAATTAAAGGAGTTGCATAACATTAAAGAAAATACGCTGATCCTGTCAGAAACGTGGCTTCTGCTTTCAATAGCATATATTGAACATACGTCCCGAAGACCGTTTAACAAAAATCACACTTACTGAACAAATTCAGTGGAACGTTTCTCTATGTTAAGTAAAACAGAAATATTTTGCATGCATTTAATTATATCTTTTAAGGGCTGTAAAGATATTGTTCTGGATTGTATGGTCCTGTTCTCAACAACTGATAGAGTTGAAAGACATGCTTGCCTTTCTTACAGAATGGACCAGCATAGGCAGAGAAAGTGCAGTCACAGGAGAATCCACTGTATTTCTCTCTACATTTTCCACCATTGTGACACAGGTTACCATAGCTGCTACAATGTCCAGGACAGCCTGGTTCAACTCCTGGTGTTATCTTTGCTCTCTCTTCCAGATCAAGGGCCATTCCATTCAACTGCAATGAACGAATGCATCCCAGAAATCCTTTCTGCCTGGATGCTGTCCCACCTGAAATAAATTCATATAAGCTTTTAAATATTAAAAACAATTGATGTGTAAAAACCCCTTTATGTTTGAAAGCTTCTTAATAGTCTATTAAGAATTTCCAAGATATAAACCTATGCATTTGAAAATATTTATAAATATATTCAGAAGCATATCTGATTTCTTTTTTTTCTCCCCTAATTACTGTGAACCCTTGAAACTTTTAATGGGAAACCAGGATTTTGCACAGCAAGATACCAAGCAATGATGCCTACTTCTATTAATTGGCAAAGGAGTAACAACCAGAAATCAGG